GTACACTTTATTTTCATATTAATGCAGTTATATAATTTTTTTAAAATTATATTTTTTAAATATAAATATTTTCACTTCGTGCAATGCTTGTTCGCATATTTGACTTTTCTCTTTTTTCTTAAATTAAAATTAGATTTATAATATACAGATTTTCTCAATTTGCATTTAATTATTTGAGATAACATGATGCATTTGGAACATCTTGTAGAATCATTATTTAGAATGAGGGGGCATAGTACATGTCTCCATTGTATACCATCTTTGTAGGCTATTTTAAGGTAATTATTTTCTTGAAAATTTTCTGTTATGCCTAATTAAATGAGGAGATAAGCAATAGGATTAATATATATACATATATACATCTATATTGTAAAAACTAATTATTTGTATATACTATTAGTAACATACCTTCGCAGATAATTCTTAAATCAAATTCATCTATAAGTTCTTCAATGTCTAACAAGCATTGCACTTTATTATCTTTAGTTTCTCTTATAAGATTGTACATTATTGGATCAATTTCTCTATTTAAAACACTACACCGTAATATCATATCAGTTTTTACGAATACTTGTTTTTCCAGAGAAGGCATACCATCTTTCGTTATTGCCATGCTTAAATATACTATTGTTGTAGCATGCCCTTTGGAAGTTACATTACACGACCAACCACGTGGCAAAACAACTTCAAAACACATTTCCAGTAAATCTTCAAACAAAATTCCCTGTTCTCGTATTTCATCATATACATAGTCGTCGTACTTGTCCAAACGATTATTGGGAATATTTAACGATTGTTGTTTTATACGTATATTACTTTTCTTTAAAGTATTATCTAAACATTTTTTCAGGATCAAATTTTTGATTTTAACTTTTGAGTTGTCCCACCTTTCTGCAGATGTCTCATCCTCTTCAGAATAATTGGATACATACGAAGAATTATTTACATTTCTTTCAGGTTTTACTTGAGAAAGTTGATCGTAATCAATGTTTTCTTTATGTTTCGTTTTCTCCATATCATTATCTGTATTTTTTATTTGTAAATTATTATAATTTCTAAGCATTGTCTTTCTATGTTTATTATTTCTATTAGAAGATAGTCTTAATTGTGTTCTATAATCATTCATAGACATGTTTATATTTGATTCATCCTCTGATGATTGTTGCATTTTTATAGATCGATTAGCATTTTTGTATTTATGATTTTTAAACTCGGAACATTCTTTAACCATATTTGCAATTTCTTCTTCCCTGGGTATAAGAAAAGTTTCTGCTTTATCAATACTTTGCACCAGACTATTGTGAGACATTAAGAAATCATTCAAATTGTTCAAATTGAAATGACTTCTTTTGGTAGTTTTGTTATCTTTCGATTGAAGATGAATATTTCCAATAGGTACTGCTCCTGGTCTTAATCTACATTTTTTATATTTTATCTAAAATTATATAAAATGAAAGTAAATCCGCTTTCATATGAACAAAATATTTGCGAAACAATATCTTACAGAGACAACGTGTGGTGGAGCTCCACTGATCCAATGCGTGATAATATCCCATTTATAAAAGTGTTTACTGCAAACGTATGTATCATCACTTACAGAATAATTGTCTATATCAATTGCTGCTTGCCATTTTCTACGCAATTCTGGATCCTTTGGAGCTGAGAAGAAACTGCAGGTGTTCTTATAATTTGTTCCCTTACATAGCACACACTTACGTGTCATACTGATCCTACAATATTATTTGATATACATAATGACACATGTATTATGATTAAATATAATTGAAATCAATTAATTTCATTCCATAAATGTAAATAATACAATGATGTAATTACGTACGACAAATTATTTTTTAATTTAATTATTAAATGTAACAGAAAGTTATAGTAAATAATGTAAATATGTAATTATATACCTTATAAAATATTAACACATGAGTTTATTAAGGATTATTATAATTATTTTAATAACCACATAAGAGAACTTTTAATTATGTTTTTGATATGTTTTTAAAAATTATCTGCGAGTACTTTTACTAATACAAAATTTAATACATTTGTACAACAGGAAAAACAAAAATTAGAGCTACTAAAAAAATTAGTGCCAACGTAGAAAAATGAATTTACAATAAAACCGGTATGTTAGAAGGTTTGTTATTTGGCTGAACCAAAGAATACAAAAGTACACAGAACCTCATAAGTCCCCTTTTTTACCCACCCAGTTTCATTTTTGTTACTACCGGGACCACCAGTAGGCGATAGTGGGTACTTAACGCGATGATGATACAATACTATCAAAGAATACAGTATTCTTTGATAGTATATATAATATATAGTATAGTTATATTGTAAGAAAATTTTAAATAATGATATTTAATTTTTAGTGTCTAAATACGTGTGTGCCTTCAGAAATGCATTTATATTTATATTTTAAAATAAAGCAATTTAAGACACTAAAATAAAAAAGAATCCAGA